TTTTATACTTAATGTCGTTTGAGGATCTGGTCCTCAGGGGTTACATGGACTTGGGAGGAGCCTCTGGCTCCTTTCTTTTATCAGTTCCAACTATGTGAAGATAAGTCAAATGTCCTGCTGGATCATGGCTGGCTTCACTCAGAAGCATGGAAGAGATGTTTTCTCTGAGTTGACCCTCCTCTTTAGACCTTATCTTTCATGTTGCATAAGTCAACTCTAACTGGATCAAAGACCTCAATATGGAACCTGATGAAACTGTTAGAAGAACACATTGGCAGTAACCTACAAGATGCAAATGTGAGAAATCAGATACCAGGAGTTAAGGTCAAGAATCAACAAGTGGGACCTCATTAAACTAAAAAGCTTTCTTTATAGCAAAAGAAACAACCAAGAAAGTGAAGAGAAAACCCACAGTGTGGGAGAAAATCCTCATCAGCAACACAGCTGACAGAGGTGTAACACTCAGAGTCTATAAAGAACTCAAAGAAACAAGGAATCATGATAACAAGTGACCCAATTAAAAGACAGGTTAAGGATCTGAACAGAGAGTTCTCAATAGAAGGAATAAAGATGGCTAAGAAACATCTCAAAAAGTGTCCAACATCATTAGTAATTAGGGAAATGCAAATTAAAAACACTTTAAGATTTCATCTTACCCCAGTCAGACTTGCTAAGATCTAGAGAACAAATGATACCAAATGTTGGAGAGGATGTGGTGAAAGGGGAACACTCATCCACTGCTGGTGAGGCTGCAAATTGGTTCAACCCCTATGGAAAGCAGTGTGGAGAACTCTTAAAAAACTACAAATGAACCTACCATTTAACCCAGTTATACCACTCCTTGGCATATACCCAAAGAACTCGTCCTATTGCAGAGACACTTGTACATCCATGTTTGTTGCTGCTCTTTTCACAGTAGGTAAGAGATGGAAGCAACCTAAGTGTCCCTCAATTGATGAGTGGATAATGAAAATGTGGTTCATTTATACGATGGAGTTTTACTCAGCAGTAAAGAAAGATGAAATCGTGAAGTTTGCAGGTAAATGGATGGAACTAGAAACTTTTATACTAAGTGTAGTAACACATACTCAGAAAAAAAATCAATATATATTCTCCCTCATATGTGGATCCTAGAACCAGACTCTGATAAGTAAGTATGCAACAAGACATAATTACAGTAACCAGGATAATGGAAAGGAAACACAGGGAGGTAAAGGATAAGAAAGAACCTGAAAGAGAAGAACAGTAGGAAACAGGCGTTAATAAGGGAGATATGGATAAAAACTGGGTTAGTTTAAGGGAGGAGGGAGGGAAGGATATACAAGGAACCTAGGAGATAAAGGGAAAGTAGGAGCTCAAGAGAGGTAGGACCATAGGAGACGGGTATTTTTAAGGGAGAAATGGGAAAAATGGGGGCACCTTAATTGGGGAAACCATGATGGAAGGGTTAGACAATGCGAGAGATAAACAATCC